ATTGCATTGCCATGACCTCCAGTTGCAGTTGAATAAAACATCCAGTAAAGCAAGATAAATGTTGAGGCGTACTATCCCACAGATGTTGCAGAACGGTTTAGACTTAGAAGTTTGACTCGTAGACTTCTCACCAGTTCCGTCCGTGGTTAGTGTCAAAATGAGACGCACAAACCTCTTCAGATCGCAACTAAAAAAATTCTCATTAACAAGTTTCAGTGTCAAGCAACACAAACAGAGGCCAATCACAGGCATTCCTCTTCTTTATCGCAATGGGAGAATTCCCTAGTTGACAGTCTGTAGGGTTCGCATATTTTCCCAGCTCATAAAACATGCATTCTCCTCCGCCACGCGTGGAACACAAGGATCGCTCCTCAACTCGTTGGTATGCATGGAATTCGCAGGACTTTGACTCCAGATTCTAAAACCAATTATTGAAATAGCTGCCACTGTAAGTGGCAGGGCAAGCGTGTCGAGAACAAGGGAAAGAAGCATCTCAGATATTCATAATAGAATGTTACTCTTCTGTATAGTACAGTTACTTGTCTGGGCCATTTCAAGATACAGTCCGTTGTCCTTCGGTTGGGGCTTTGAGATCAGTCATGTGTGAGATAACTGAACTACGGTGTTGATCTGGGATAAGTGAAAACCTATTTCAGCCCCTTATTTTGTGTGTGGCTTTGTGCTAAACCAAACGGTAATCTTCTAATGTGCAAGTTGAATGTGATACCAAATCGTCTTGATGGCAGAACAACACAATGGCCATACTGCGGCTAAATTGTGAATCAGTGATGCTATGGATGGATAAATGGGCAAACCTTTCCATCTCTTCTCCACACACTCCAGAACCATTAATCACAACAGCAGAGTGGTCTGATTAAGTGTGGGCATAAGAGGACAAAAAATACACACAACAAAGTGACATCAACTTTGTGAATTATCCCAACTGTTCAGTTACCTGCTCATTTTGTAAACGAGTTACAAAAGATTAACGTGGGTGTTCCATTGGTGAGCAATGAAATATTCTGAATACCTGGCATTTAAATTTCAGAGCATCTTGTGGCATATTGTCAGGGTTTTGGTGAGGGATGTCCTCAGGCCACCCCATTAATCTCTATTAAACAGAGCCATGTCAGCTCTCTCTCTCTCTCTCTCTCTCTCTCTCTCTCTCTCTCTCTCTCTCTCTGCGTGTGTGTGTGTGTGTGTGTTGGATTGGATGATGCCCTTGTGAGTCTTTTCCGCATTGAGTGGTGTTGAGAGGTGTTTGGCAGTATAGTTGCTTAACACTTGGTCATTCTTTAGTCTGTTTCAGATTTTTTTCAAAGAGCATCTAAATAAGAAGACAAAATAACATGACATAGTCACATAAACACATTCACGCTACCTGAAAAGTGGTTGTGTAATTCACATCGTCACTGAGCACGGTCATAATATATAATTCCATCTCTGATTGCTCAAGTAGCAACATCTGCAGATAATTATTTTACCGCATGCCCCTCATACCACACAAGTATGCTCAAATTAGTGGTGATATATTGGCTTGACATCTCGTTTAGTGAGGACGGGCAGATTGCAGAGCCATGATTGAAGGCTTAATGAATGATTCATAATCTGAAATGAAATGGACATTTTAATTTGGGCATTTGCAACAATCATTCACTGGACACGTACCATTTCTACATTGGAAAAAAACAACCAAATAATGTCAATTTAGAGGAGTTCCTTGATTCCTTTCATTCCCTTGAGACCTGAAAATATCTGTAGGGCTGTTTATAATACAAACCATAGTATGTGCTTATTAACAACCTACTTTTTGAGCTCTTCATTGCCAGTTGAATTATAATTTCCTCACCTTGCATTCAAGCAAGTTTAATTTGCTGTTTGATGCTGTGACTGTCGCCTAGCCCACACTGTTTGTACTGTACGACATATTGCTAACTGGCTGCTGTCTTGATGTTGGGGGACATGTTTTGAGCAGGGAGGGATGTTGTCTTGTGCGAAACAAACAGATGGGATGAAAACTTGACCTACTTCTTCATCTGGACCACTCTGAATAAAAAAGAAGGATGACTAAGAGGAGAGAGAAATAGAGCTGTGTGATGCATTTTATTTTGTGGATGAACACAAAGTGCATAAAGCACAACTTTTTGTTTTTGATCTGCTTCATTGTTTTATTTTAGCATTTTGCTCACTTTACCTCCACACTCTTTGCACTTTGATTTTGATTGTGGCAAACTTTCCTTGCCTTGTTATTTGTGTCAAATAAATTAGGAACCATGACTTCACAGATCAAAACATGGGTCAAGTCAATAATCAATCAGAAATAACAGGACCCTTCCCATATTTGGTTCCTTAAGGAGTTAAGATGTCTGATTTGGGAACATCTTTTAAATAAAGGATGTGCTTGTCAGAGAGAGAGAGAGAGAGAGGGAGAGAGAGAGAGAGAGAGAGACCTAGATATTTCAGAACTCCTCTGGGGTTATACCCAGTTCTTCTGTGTGTTGTTTGCATGGAGCTGCTTGGCCTTGTGATAAATGACCTGTGTTTTAAGATGCCAGGAGGGTCAGCTCTGCCGCATCAATCATGGCCACTTTATGCTTTAAACTCCTAATGAAGAGTGAGGAAATTGATTGCGTTAGCAGAGGGGCGGATACCATCTTGTGTTCAGGTTTACTATGCAGAGGTTCTTTCACAATGCGTTTTCTGATAGCAGCAAGCCTACAGCGTGATTTCATCTGCAAACCTTGAAAGGGTGTATTTTAATAGCACTGCATATGCTGCCATTACCCAGCAGCATAATGATAAAACATTGTAGTTGTCAATGTTAGATTTGAAATTGAAGAGCAATCTGTGCTGAACTCTGGACCTCAAGTTTATATCGTTTAATATTTGGCGTGGGCGATTTACACCATGTATCCACAGTGATCATAACAAGGCGGTCTTTATGATCTGCACCATGTTCATCCTCATCCATTTGGGCTTTCATTTAGACTCTTTTTAAAAAAACCACCTTGACACTGATTGTAGTTGTGCACGTGGTATAATTGCGTAGGTCGAACTGAATGTGCCTCTGTTTTGAAATACAGTTGCAGTTGATGACTTGAAAGGGTTTGGTCCACTTTTCCCACATGTTACCCCCTGGCATCATATTATGTTCGCCTCCCACGCCTGTTTAACAATGCCACGTATATTGTGTTGCATACTATTGGAGTAATTGCCTGCTTTTTGGACCTTGGGGGCCTAAAGGAAGAGGTAATCCTTTAAGAAGAAGAATAATGTGTATACCCTGCCTTGGGGAAGCACAGGTAATGCTCTAATGTACACATGTCAACGGGAGCGGAGGACAGGTTCAGCTGCGCAGCTGCGCAGCTGCGGAGTGGCGCTCCCGTGAGCGGTACAGCACCGCGGACAGCGCAGAGGCTTCCCAGACAGTTCGCTGTCCGTGGTTCTGAAATTCAGCTGAATTCGTGGCTCAGAGTTTTTCCACACATTTTCAGATTTTTCTAGTGGACCAAAATCAATTGTATACAGCCTCCCCAGTGAAACTGAACTTTTGCTCGGACCCACCTCAAACAGGACGCCTGGGGATGTCTGAACTGAACTTCACAATCTGCTTTTTGGCACGTTTTGCTTAACTGCTTTGCTAGATGGCATTGTTTATTACACCACGAAATCAAAGCACATGCAAAATGTCCCAATCCCTATGTTCCTGTCTAGATAATATAGATTCCGAATATTTATATATTCTTTATTGGTCCTGGAGTGGGGATTTTCTTTTCATCCTCGGGATGAGTCGCACACAGCCAGCTATTATGTCTTATCATGCTCAAAGGCAGTTCGGGAGGTATGCTGCAGGTACGGCTACAATCAAAGCCCATGCTGCCTGTGAACCACCTCACCATCGCTTAGGATATGCATGTATAACGAGCCACTAAAAATACAGCTCTAAGAAGTGTTTTGTTTGTGTTGTATGACGTGCAACACAACAGAGCTATACACGTGTATATATAGCCCTATATATTTTTACTTGCCTGCTAACATAAACGCCCAGTAAATCACGCTCGGCTGTCAAGCCGCTGATGAGTCTGCTCTGCATAAAGCCCATGCAGCCTTTCCACCAGGCTGTTGTACCCCCCCTCCCCTCCCTCCCTCCCTCCCTCCCTCGTTTCCTCTCCTCCTCCTCCACATTCAGTGCTCCCTCTTGCGCGCACGGTGTGCAGCAGCAGCGACTTCAACGCTTCTCTGACGCACCATCGGAGATGAGCATCCCAGTCCCACAGGCTGTCAAGGCACACTCTCTCGAAATCTCCGCGTCGGACCTTTACGGTCAAGCTTTCAACATCATCCTGTTTGTTTTTAGTCGTTTTTCCCCGTACCGCTTCGTTGTCTCGTAGCTTGTCATATTACGCATTTGGCGGGGGTGCCCACGGCCAGCTCTTGGCTTGGAATTTACTTCAGAGGTGATTTTTGTATCCGCCGCTACTGTCAACGAGAGAGTGATTGATGCCCGTCTGCACTTACTGGGGGTCCTCTCCTTGTTCGGGGCATCCTTCAGAACATTCTTGTGCTTCTCAGATAAGTGGTTCAAGTTTATGC